GGGACGACTGAGGGGGCGTGGCGCGGCCAGACGCGGGTCAACCCGAAGCAAGACGGGCCAGGGCCTCGCACTCCGCCCAGCTGCCCCCCGCAGTCACCCTCCCCCTTCCCTGACACCCAGGTCCTCGCCTCTCCTCGGACATCCCTGGACCCCTTCCCCCCGCCCGCCCCTACCTGTCCCGGATCGCCCCACCGTCCGCCCCGCGTGGTGCGGACTCACCCTCTAAGCGGCCATGCTCGCGCTCAGCGCGGCTCTGCGCCTCCTGCAGGGCTTGCACAGCGTCGCGGGTGTCGCCCGCCGCCTTCCGCAGCTGCCGCAGCCCCTGGGTCAGCTCGACCACGCGGGTGTCCAGCGCGTGCAGTCGGACGTGCAGCTGGTGCAGACCGGCGTCCAGGCCGGCCAGGCGGCCCACTGCAGGAGCACAGGGTGCACGCTGGACGGGGACCCTGGGCGGGGTGGGGCCGGGGCCCGACGACAGGAGAATGGGGGTAAGGAGACCTAGGGCCCCAGGAGGAGTCGGGGTCCTGGGCGCTCCAGCCAAGTCGGGGCCTGTAGCCAGGGAGCTCTTGCGAACCCAGCCCTGACCCAGGCTTTGTGGGGGTGGTAGTTAGGGGTGGGACAGAAGGGCAACGGGAGGCTAAGATGGCCCATTCTCATGAAAATGATGGGGGTGGGGGTCTGGGAGAGCAGGGAAGGGTTACTCACAGACGTAGCTGATGGCGTCCTCGGGGGTCGGGGTGGGAGTGGGGGAGGGGCTGGGGCTGGAGGTGGGCAGGGGCGTTGCTCCTTCTTCTTCTCCCACCTGGCTGGCCTCCTCAGTCCACCAGCCCTCTTTGTCTTCAGGGGTTCCCTCCGCATGCTCATCCAGGCCCCCGTGGGGCAGTCCCAGGGCCTCCTGTAAATGCTGAGGGGCGAGGGGTGGGGGGGCCAGCCAGTAACCCTGTCTGACTCCCTAACCCCCAGCCAGCCCTCCCCAGCTGTGAGCTGGCTATCTGTCCCAATCCTTTCTCCCAAAACCTCCCCACCCTGAGTCCTCCCCTCACCCCCCCTTGCCCCCCTCTCTGCCCCAGGAAAGGGCACCGCTCCCCAGCCCAGCTCCCGGACTTACCTTCAGCATCAGTGCCTCCCGCTCCTGCTCTTCCTCCCGGGCTCCTCCCCAGGCCCCCTCCTGCTCCCTCTCAGCTCCCCGGGCCCCAAGGCCCAAGCCCAGGAGCTGGGGGACCACCAGGGCCCCGAGAAGCCAGGCTGCTTGCATCAGGTTGGGCTCAGAGCACCCAGGTCTGCAGACAGGTACCTGGGGCTGACTCCTGCCGCGCTCCCCCAGCCGGGCTCCCCCAGCCGGGCTCTGTAGTCTGGAGGTCTCTGCTCCTCGGTGTCTCCCCGCCCCTCTTGGCTCCCCGGAGGCCCTGCCTGTGTGGCCGGAAACCTCCAGCGTTCCAAAGCCTGGATCCCGCCTTGGGTCTCCCACCCCCTTCCCCCTTCCCAGAGCTCGCTTCCGCCCTGCTGAGCCCCAGCTCCTTCCTCTGCCTTGGCCAAAGCACCAGTGGTCAAGAGGAGGGTGCCCCTTACTCGTGGACTCCTAGGGGGCCTGGGAACTCAGCCTCTGCCTAGGAACCCCTGAGGGGGTGGCTGGAGCCTGGCCACTCACCCCTCATCCGGACGGAGGAGGTGTCCCACCATTCTGAGACTCTGGGTTGCCTCCTGCTCCCCCACCTCCCAGGCCCCCCAAACCCCCAGGGGGCCAGTGGGTGTGTGCCCGTCCACCCACGAGGACACAGGCGAAGAGCGTGTGTCTGCGTGTGCCGGGCAGTGGGACCAGCTGTGTGCTGTCCTTTCCGGCAGCCTTCGGCACACCCTGGGCTTGGGGCTGCGCACAGACCAGCAGGCAGCGGGTGGAGTGGGCAGAGGCAGGGGCCGGCTGGGTGCAGAAGGGTCAGGGCTGTCCGCAAGGTGCCTCATCTGTCTGGCCCAGACCACTGCAGCGGCCTCCCCCTGCCCCCTCCTTCCTCCTGCGCCCCTCCAGTCCACACTGCTTGCCGCAGCAAGGCTTCCAAACCGTAAATCAGATCACGTCACTCCCCACTCCCCTGCTCCTCGGCTTCCCATCAGATGCAGGAGGGCAGCCAAGCCCTGCTCTCCTCACCGGCTCCCTGCTCCCTGCGGGGAACTGAGAAGGCCCCCCCACCGCTGGCTCCTGCCCCCCACTCCCTCGCCAGGGTCCAGCCAGGGTCCAGCGCCCCCGGGCCTCTTGGGCCACCCTGGTGACTGGGCTCTTACCAGCCGTCCCCTCTTTCTGGAAGGCTCTCTCTCCTCCCCCTCTGTTGAGGCTGAGTTGAAAGTCTTGCCCAGTGGAACCGCCTCCCACCGCTCCTCTGGTGAACACCTTGTACCTCTTTGGTGTGGCCAGGCCTGCTGGGGACTGGCCTCCGGTCTGTCTCCCACCCACAGAGGCAGGAATTAGAGCCCATGGCCCCAGAGCGAGACAAAGGCCCACGTAGCACACAGTAGGTGCTCATATCACCTGTGTGGGAGGATACAAGCTGTTCCTGGCCTGGCAGCAGCTGGGCTGTAACCCCTGGAGGCTTGACCTTTGTTTCTGAGGGGTGTGGGGGGGGCCTGCCCATTCCATTCCCTGAGGCAGGGACTGAGGGGCGCAGGGTGGGGGGTGGGCAGCCAGAGTTGTGGGGGTGAGGCCGCAGGAGCCAGGTAGCAGGAGGCCATGCCAGGTCCACTCTGCCAGGCCCGTGAGCCACGCCTGGCTTGCCCAGCCTCTGCCTGGCTGGTTGTGCCAAGACCGTGGGGCTCACCAGCGGGGTTCCCAGGGCCGCTCTCCACAGGAGGAAACCGAGGCCCAGGCCAGGGCAGGCGCAGCTTGCTGGAGGCAGCTAACCCAGGCGCTGCGCAGCAAAAGCAGGACATCTGCCTTAGCTCTGGGAGCCCCGGAGGGCCCCGGAAAACAGCGCCCCCAGCCTTCCATTTTCCCAGAAAGTGGAGGGCAGTGTGACCTTGGGCTGGTGTTGCCGGGCTCCCAGCCTGGCTTCTGGGTGCCTTGCAGGTGCCGGGACCCCTCACAGACAGACCTAGTCCCGAGAGGCCTTCCCAGCTGCCAGGGGCACAGCTCTAGCAGACAGCTGCGCTCTCCCGGGGCCCAGCTGCTGACCACCTGGGCAGTGGGTGTGCGTTGGGGTCAGGGGCTCTGGCTCCTGCTCTGGTGCAGGAAAGCCTGGAGCTGGAGACCTCTCAGCTGTGCGGCTTGCACTGCCTGGCAGCTGGGGGACACCCCCCCCCTGCGGATGGGAGACAGCAGGAGCCCCATACTCAGTACTCTCAGGCCCCCCATGGGATCTGTCTTTGTGGGGTGCCACTGCACCAGCCCTGGGGTGTGCGGAGGCAGCTGGGTGTGTCGGGCGTGTTATGCTGGACACTAGGCCACCCTGGTGCGCTGGGCGTGACGGGCCTGTGGGACTGGCCTGGCCCGCATCCTCTCTGTAGAGCTGGGCCACCTAGGGCGAGCTGCTCAGCCGCTCTGTGCCCGGGTCTGCCTCTGGAGAGGGGCCAGGAGAAGGGGCCCCTGAACCCCGGAGCCCACTGCCAGTTAACCCAGAGGTGTGGGGTGAGCCAGACGCAGAGGCGGGGAGTGTCAGGGTGGAGGGGCTGCAATGGTGGGTGCACACCTGGGCTGTGGCCCAGCACACCTCCCCACCGGGCTGCAGTGTGAGCATACCTGCGCAGGTGTGCACACTCAGGGGTCATGGGTCCGCACTGGGGGGGAATGCACACCCAGGGGAGCAGGTATGTCATTTCTGGGGGCACCTGCCCGGAGAGTGTGTATCTGGGGCCTGGTGTGCACCTGCCTGGGAGACTCCCAGCACCTGGGTCTGGGGAAGGAGACAGACAGAGAGCCTCTATTTGGGGGGACAGGACAGAAATCTGTAGCGCCCACAATCTAATTTGGGGGTGTAGAGTCTCGGAGCAAACACTGCTTGCAACCTACTGTGCGCAGAGAGGGTGGGGAGCTCTTGGGAAGGAGCGGCCTTGGCGTGTCTGAGGGCTACCCTTGCGGGGTGGCTCCCCGACACTGGGGTATGGGGCAAGCAGGGGTGGAGTCGGAGTTCAGGGATCGGTGACGAAGAGGAGTGGGGGGGAGGGGAGGGGGCGGAGCCGGCGCTGGGGGGGATGGGCGAGGTTTGGGGGCGCGGGGAGGGGCGATGTCTCCTCTGCCGGCTCCCGGAGGGAGGGGAGAGGGCGGAGGGAGGGGAGGGAGGGAGAGAGGGAGGGAGAGCGAGAGAGACAGGGTGAGGGAGAGAC